ATGTGCACATTTATGTGTAGTATGTAATTCTCCCATCATAAAGTGAAGACAGTAAAAGCAGCCTTTTTCCCCTGTCCCAGGTATGGCAAATATGTTCCCTGTTTGATATTTTTACCTGTTTTATTAGGGTTTGCTTTTATTTGTATTTTCGTTTTTCAGTATAGAAAATTTAACCTTTATGTTCTCATACTGATCAACTTTTTCTATTATGACTTTCTGAATTAGTATCATGTTTAGAAAGGTCTTCCCGAGCCCAAGTTTATATAAATAATTCATCTGTATTTTCTTCTGGGACATTCACGGTTTTAAATCTTCGAGTCACCTGGTAGCAATGGGTTTATATAAATAATTCATCTGTATTTTCTTCTGGAATATTCATGGTTTTAAATCTTCGAGTCACCTGGTAGCAATGGGTTCCTTTTCTATTTCTTTAGTGTTTATTTATTAGGCTGCCATAGATCTCCATTGTAGCATGCAGAACCTTTAGTTGCAGCATCTGAACTCTTTACTTGAGGCATGTGGGATCTACTTCCCTGACCAGGGATCAAACACAGGCCCCTTGCATTGGGAGCGTGGAGTCTTAGCCACTGGACCACCAGGCAAGTCCCAGCAATGTGTTCTTTCAGTATAAGGAATCATTACTCAGCCAGCTCTATTTTGAAGCTATTTAACAATCCAGTAAACCAGCTGGTTTAATAGACAGTCTTTATCACATAAATTTTCATATGTATGAATACACACAGATTCTAATTCTGTCCTTTCTTCGATCTAGTCCAGCATCAGAATTGTTTATAGTAGCTCGAGAATAAATTTTATTAATGTAGATTTAAAATAATATCTTCAAACATACAAATGTCACTTCAAGTATATAAACAACCCCGGTATCATTTAAATGATTTTTATAGTAGTTATTAGTAGTTATTTTTTTAACTAATCCACATAATTAATTTAACATTGACTAGAGTTTTAGTTATTTAAAACAAAACTGTAAATAACTTAGGGAAGTGAATTTTGCTATGATTCTCAAACTCTGTTATATATCAGAATCACCTAGTGAGCTTGCTCAGCAGACAAAAGCCTGTATTCCGCTTTCCAGGACATGTGAGTCAGGAGGAGGAAGACGGGCCTCACTCTCAAACACTCCCAAAGTCATTTCTATACACAGTAAAGTTCAATACTGAACACAATATTGTTCATGAGAGCAATATTTCCTAGGGTAACTATTCAGTTTCAAACACCTTTTAACATTTGCAGCGTGCTGTGCTTAGCCACTCAGTCGTGTCCAACTCTTTGCAACTCCTTGAACTGTGACCCGCCAGGCTCCTCTGTCCATGGGATCCTCCAGGCCAGAAGACTGGAGTGGGTAGCTTTCCCTTCTCCAGGGGATCTTCCCAACCCAGGATCGAACCCAGGTCTCCCGCATGGCAGGCGGATTCTTTACCAGCTGAGCCACACAGGAAGCAAGGAAGGCCTTTATTTGAACCTTTCACCACAGAATAGTTCAAATAAAGGCCTGCCTTTCAAATGAATAAGCAAAAGGCTCCAAGAAAAAGTAAAACCACAACCAAATAAATTTAGCAAGGATAAATCATTAATTTATACAACCTTCTGTATAGAACAAGCAACAAATAATAGGCAGCACAACATGTTCATTTAAAAGAAACAAGATCAAAATGAAAGTGATAAAAAAAAAAAAAAGAACATAAAGGAAAAGAATCCCTCCAGAGAAAAGTATGATATACATACAAAAATCCCTAAAGGCATATGCTGTGTAAGCTCCAAGAACCAAACTCTACTAATTAACCCTCAATCCACTGTCACATAAAGAGAAAAGGAACACAATGGAAATCTTTGTAAGGTAAACTTTGCCATAAGTGAAATTAACCATGTAAATTCAAGGGGAGATGCTGCATCCCACTGTTCCAAGTCTGTGCTCAGCCCTCGGACACCCTATTTGTACATGATGTCGTCCTCAAAACTAGGATGCTCTCTCTTCACTTCTTTCTTTGAGTAAAAATTCAGATTCTACTTTTTCTCACAAAGCCTTCCCCTGTCACCCTTACAAAAGAATGTGCTCCTCCAAGTCCTGGCCAGACCCAGAGCAGGGGAAGGAAGGAGGAGGCTGATGAAAGAATCCACTCCAGACCCGCTCCCTGTCCCAGCCATAGCAACGATCACTGTGATGGGAGCCTAGAAAGAATCCTTCCCGCCAGTTCCTTCTAACAGCAGCTCCCACCTAAGAAGGGCAGAAGGAACAAGAGGCACAAACAATTCCAACCGCATCGAGACAGTCACCACTATGAACTTCACAGCTTTCAAACTGATTCTATTTTATTTCCTTTCTAAGCTTCTTGCTCAAAATTTCGTTCATGTTCAATTTAAGGTCACACAACTAAAGATACAGAGATACTGACAATGCTTTTTTACAGAACGGTCAAAGGTTTCTATTTATGTGCTTATCAAAATTACATTTCACAAGGAGAAGCTATTTCTAAACAATTTAAGGATAATATTTGTTGTTTTCATGTCACAAGTAATACATGTTGATTACAGAAAATCTGGAAAATAAAATACAAACCATTCACACACTACTACCCAGGTATGGCAACTACTAATACTTTCCATTCTTTTTTCTAACAAAATAATTTTAAAAGATCATACCCAGCATTTCAAGGAATTTAAAAGAGAACAAAGATGCTTCTGTTCAATACTGTAGTGGAAGGTCCTAAACAGTAAGGTTTTTTTAAGTAAAATAATTGAAATTAAGAGATAAAACTGTCCACATTCACAGATGATTGTTTTACTTAGAAAATCTAAGACAATCTATGATAAGTTATTAAAAAGACTATTTAGCCAAGTTTTAGTATCAAATCAACTTAAATTAATACATTTCCATTCACCAGAAATGATCATAGAAAACACAAGAGAAAAAAAAGCAGTTTATTCACAATTTTATTACAAACACATCCGTGCAGAAAAGAGTTAACACAGTAGGCCTGGGACCGCTACTCTTACAAAGGCCTGCTTGAGAGCTGGCCCTTGGTGAGTAACTTAGAACTTGGCTAGGGCCCCGTGTGTGTGTGTGCGTGTGTGCTAAGTCGCTTCAATCGTGTCTGACTCTTTGTGACCCTACGGACTACAGCCCACCAGGCTCCTCAGTCCATGGGGTACTCCAGGCAAGAACGCTGGACTGGGTCGTCATGCCCTCCTTCGCGGGATCTTCCCGACCCAGGGATCGAACCCACATCTCTTACATCTCCGGCATTGGCACACAGATTCTTTACCGCTGGAGCCTCTGGGAAGCCCAGCTAGTGTCCTATACTGATATAAAACTTTCCCCAAATGACAGCGTGGCTCACTACACCTGAACTGTGTAAAGTGCAGGGCATGTGGTGTATGAATGCCTGCTTCCTTCTGGGAGTCTGGGGTCCTGGTACCTGACAGGCAGATGGTGCCTCTATGGACAGCCCCGGTAACAGATTGTTGTTGTTCCATCACTAAGTCATGTCCAACTCTTTGAAACCCCAAGAACTGTAGCACTCTAGGCTTCCCTGTTCTTCACTGTCTCCCGGAGTTTGCTCAAACTCATGTCCATTGAGGTTGTGATGCCATCCAACCTTATCATCCTCTGTCATCCCCTGCTCCTCCTGCCTTCAATCTTTCCCAGCATCGGGGTCTTTTCCAATGAGTCGGGTCTTCGCATCAGGTGGAGCTTCAGTATCAGCCCTTTCAGTGAATATTCAGGGCTGATCTCCTTTAAGATTGACTGGTTTGATCTCCTTGCTGTCCAAGGGACTCTCAAGTCTTCTCCAGCACCACAGCTTGAAAGCGTCAGTTCTTCAGGGCTCAGCCTTCTTTATGTGATGGACACCAGGTCTCTAATGAACTTCCCTGGCAGACAGTGCTGCACACATGTTGCCACAACTTGCAGGAAGAATCAGATGTGTCCTCTATGACTCCACCAGGGGTCGGGAGTCGGCGGAGGGGAACTCTTGAAAGCCAGTGTCTGGTTTCCTCTGAACTTTGCCCCACATGCCTTTTCCCTTTACTGATTTTACCTTGTACCCTTTTGATACAAAAAACCGTGGCTATGAGCACAACTGTGTGCCGAGTCCTGAGACCTAATAAATCACTGAACCTCACAGTGGTTTTGGGGACTCTCAACAAAACATTTATGAAGACGACTACAAAATATTCATTGAAGGACAAAAAAGAAAAAGACCTAAGTAAACGGACAGTTATATCATGAACCCCAGTGGGAAGAAAGGCACCCCCCCCATTCTTATATTCAGTGCAATTCCAATCCACATGCCAACAGGGGTTTTTACTATGGAAGAGCAAAGGGCCAAGAATAACCAATTGTGAAGAACACATGGTAGAATTTTCCCAACCTGATATCAAGAATTATTATGAAGCTATCTTAATTAGGCAGCAGGGAGAACAACTCAAGGGGGTTTTTCATGAAATTTGACAAAAATGGCTCTAAAATTTATTAGAATAAGCAAAAGTCCAAAATAGCCAAGACATTCCTAATGAAGATGAACAAAGCGCCCTACCAAAGAGTACATATAATAAAGCTACAGGAGTTAACATGATATAATATTGGTACAAGGATAGACAAGCAGACCAACAGAACAGAAGAGAAAACCCCAGAATGTATCTACCATATACACAGAAAAAAATCTGATGCTTGACATTACAGACCAGAGAGAAGGTTCAGTTAGTGCTGGGACAACCAACTATACACAGGGAAGAACTAATTTAAATTCCTCTCTCACACCACTCTCTATACCCTTCTGTATGTCTGAAATACTTCATCTTAAAAACTTAAGTTTGTTTAATGCATACACTAAAATCTCTTACTCTGTTGGTAAATCACTGGCCAACAATCATAATTATACAACCTGTTACACTTTATAAGACCCCAAGGGACTACGAACTTACTTAAGTAGCACATAACCTCAATTTTATATCAACTTTTTTAAAGATAGGAACCTTACCTCATAAATCCTGGCAATTCCATAAAGTAAGGTTACCTCTCCTGGAAACTTGTTTAAGCCTTGTTTGAAAAGATTTATAGCAGTCACGGGTTGATCCAATGAGATGTAAACCTAAAACCAAGATACACTTCAACAGAAGTACTGCTTCTTAAAATAACAATATTCATTATGACAAATTTTAAATTATAGATTAGTAACAAATTATCTCCTAGATACTATAGTAAACATTTTTCAGAAATGTGTAGGATCAATTTCTAATAATGATGTTATAGTTTTATCTCCTCATGCTGCATGTGACACATTCACTCATTTATTCCTTCAGCAAACACTTATTGTGGGCTTACTACTGTCACACAGACTAGACAGTAACTAGAAAAGGATGCTTATGTATGGCAAAAACTATCACATACTGTAAAGCAATTATCCTCCAATTAAGATAAATTAATTTTTAAAAAAGAGAGGATCAAGGGAAAATCTTTTTGAGGATGGAACAGACATAAGTGTGTCTATAGGCGGGCATGAAGGACTAATTGTGAGGCTGACTGTGAAGACGCTGGAGAAAGAGGGCATGCCCCGTGGGAAAGTCTGAGAAGGAGCAGCCGGGGAAGCCTCTGCAGAGGGTGGTTTGGGAGAAGAACCCTGAGAAGTAGACGGGAAACACGTGTGTAGGGCAGAGGGTCAGGGAGTTGGGAGGGTTAGCACTCGATACTCCCATTTAACAGTTCCCACCACTGAATTAGAAATTAGAAAATTCAGTGTAGATAAACCATAACTTACTAGGAGTTTCTAAAATGAGAATTATACCTTTATGTATAGAAACATAAGATTATGACATTTTTTTTCTTCATGATCTTGGATCCTCTGTTTCCTCCTAAACGTTTAGACTGTGCTTTGAAGAAGCCCAAATGGAGACACACAAAACTGCCTAGAGAGTTTATTGATAAAGAATGAGACTAGAGGAAAGGGCATGGATAAAAACTTCTCAATTTTTACCTCACATGCTTCTGAATTGCTTTTTAAAATATAATAAATAATTCCATATATGAATATAAAATATTTAATAATTCTTAAATTAACAAGCTTAAATCATAAGAGATAACGTTGTTCCTAAAATCTGCTTGGTCTCTATTACTTAGCAATAATTCCTTCACATATCAAAAAAACAAGTAAATTGTAACCCTATATAGTCACATAGGCAACAAAAGAGTTAAGCAAATCAACTGATGAAAAAATAATCAAACAATGTATGTAACAATAGTTAAAAAGTACATTTTTAACCACATGGCAAGTGATTATCAATTAAGAAGATAATAGTCATATACTGTAACCTGAATTATAATTTCAAGCTGTCAGAAAACTTTACTGTGATGTTTAGAAACCTTTTTAGAATTTAACATATCATGTATAAAGACACTTAGAGTTTCAGACATTTTTTAAAAAACCACTATAAACATACTAAGTCAGCACAGTAAGTTTATATGGCAGAACCTTCATCTGATTGTTAGTATGCTAACATTAATACCTATTTAGAAAGTAGTAGCACTTCCTTTTGGAGAAGGCAATGGCAACCCACTCCAGGGTTCTTGCCTGGAGAACCCCAGGGACGGGGGAGCCTGGTGGGCTGCCGTCTACGGGGTCGCACAGAGTCGGACACGACTGATGCGACTTAGCAGCAGCAGCAGCAGCAGACGCATTTCCTTCTCTGTCTCATCTTCTTTTCAACCACCTTGACAACCCTTTTTAAATTTAAGAAATTCTTAAAGATATATTAGTACAAGGTGACGTCCTAAGCACCACCTCATCAAACGCTTCTTTGAAAGTAGCCTTGGTGAGGGTGCAGAAGTCACCGATTCCAGCAGTGGAAATTGCAGGTGGCCCTCCACCTCCACTGTGGCGGTGGGGGCGCTCAGGCCCTCTAGAGTCAGAAAGTCCTGGGTGTGAACTGCTGGGGTTTAGTCGCTCAGTTGTGGCGGACTCTTCTCTGACTCCAGGGACTGTAGCCCGCCGGGCTCCTCTGTCCATGGGACTTTGCTGGCAAGAATGCTGGAGTGGGTTGCCATTTCCATCTGGAGGGGACCTTCCCGACTCAGGGATTGAACCCCCGTCTCCTGAGTCTCCGGCAGTGACAGGCAGACTCCTTGCTGCGGAGCCACCAGTGAAGCCCCCTGGGTTTGAATGCTGGCTCTCAAAAGGCAAGTGAGACTGCAAATCTTCACGTATCCTCCTAAGTATCCTTTCCCTTAGCAGTACAAAGGAAATCCACTCTGCGGTGTTGCTAAGAAAGTTTAATTAAATTACATGTGAAACAGACTTGATAAAATACCTTACACCGAGTAGGTGCTCAATAAAGGGGAAATACTGTTTTTGTTATAATGGCAGAGCCAAAAAGTGAAAACATAAAAACCTACATAAAAACAATCCTGTTCTCTATAGTCTGCTGACAAGGGAAATAAATGTGTTGTAGAAAAACACCTCTCTGGGGCTTGTGACCCCTGGGGATAATAAGCCTGTAGCATGTTCTTCTGATCTAATGGGCAATACTTCAAAGGGACTGTCTTACTTTTCATGGCAACTGATTTTTCCTGAGATGGTTATCCTCCGTATGCACTCACCTTTCCCCTTACCATTAAAAAAAAAAAGTTAAGTCTGAACACATTAACTTGTCAACTGTTCTTAAAGAAACTGGCAACTCTCCCCATGTGCTAGTCAGAAGTTAAACATTTATCCAGAGAAGACAAATTCCACTCAATTTCAGAGTACTTACTTTTGCCAAGTAGAGAAATGTATCTACCATTTCCTGCTGCTTCAGGGCTGATTTAAACTGTTTCTCTGCTTCACGATACAATCTTAACCTAAGAACAACCATTTTAAAAAATTAGACATTCACTTTAAAACAAATATGACCAGCATCCATTCATACCCTGAGGATACGAATTAGAGACAAATTACATCTGTTAAGAGTAAGCATGTACCAAGAAGGCAATGTTACATGCACACACGCATGTTTATACAGGTTAGAAAAAGAGATGCCGGCATTCCCATATTCACTGTCTGAACACTTAAATGGGCTGGAGAGTCTGTCTGAAGCCTAATCACAGCAGGATGCCAATGAGTCACCACCCAAATTGCTTGTGTCAGCTGACACGTCATGTGACCTCAAGAAATGCTCAGAGCCTCTATTTTATCGGAAGAACTGAAGATGACATTTCTCTGAAAACATCTTCTACTTTGAGATAAAAGCCCATTTTTAAAAACTGAGGTACTGGGTTGGCCAAAAGGTTCATTCAGTCTTTTTCGTAAGATGGCTCTAGTAGTGCTTAATTGTCTTTAACTTCATTTAAAACAATTGTATTAGGTTGTATTGTTGACAGCCGTCATGTCAGTGTGAGTTAAAAAAAAAAAAATCAAAACTGGTGAATTTTTGTGTAGTCATTTTAATACTGAAGATAGAAGAAAAAACCAACATTTTCAGAATACTATGCTTTATTATTTCAAGAAAGATTAAAAAATGCAACTGAAATGCAAAAAAAAAAAAAAACCAGCAGCGTATGGAGAAGGTGCTGTGACTGATCAAATGAGTCAAAGCTGGTTTGTGAAGTTTCATCCTGGAGATTTCTCACTGGACGGTGCTCCCTGGTCACGTAGACCTGTTGAAGTTGACAGCGATCAAATTGACACATCCATTGAGAACAGTCTATGTTATACCATGCAGGAAATAGCCGACATGCTCAAACTATCTAAACCAAGTGCTGAAAATCAGTTATATCAGTGTGGTATGTTAATCATTTTGATGTTTGGGTTCCACATAAGTTGAGCAGAAAAAAATCTTCTTGACTGGATTTCTGATGCACTTCTTTGTTTGATGACCAGGCAAAAATTGTTACAGCGTGGCTGAGTAGTTCTGATTCCTCCACCATATTCACCAGACATTCCACCTTTGGATTTCCATTTATTTCAGGTTTTACAAAGTTCTCTTAATGGAAAAAAATTTCAATTCCCTGAGAGAATGTCAAAGACACCTGAAACAGTTCTTTGCTCAAAAAAAAAATAAAGTTTTAGGAAGATGGAATTATGAAGTTGCCTAAAAACTGGCAGAAGGTAGTGGAACAGAATGGTGAATACACTGTTCAATAAAGTTCTTGGTGAAAATGAAAAATGTGTCTTTTATTTTTAATTTAAAAAACAGAAGGAACTTTTTGGCCAACTCAATATAATTGCCATACAACAGTATATAATTTCAGGCATATAACATAGTAATCTGATATTTGTATACCTTACAAGATGTTCACCACAATAAGTCTAATTAACATCCATCACCATACACAGTTACAGAATTTTTTTCGTGATAAGAACTTATAAGTTTCACTTTGCTAGAAAATTTCAAACACACAATACAGCATTATTAACTATAGCTGCCATGCTGTATGTGACATGCCCACAACTTACTTTATAACTGATATTTGTGCCTTGTGACTCCCTATAACAATCTGCCCTCCTCTACTCTCAGCCTCAGGCAACTAGCAATCTGTTCTATCTATGAACTTGCTAACTTTTTTTTTTTTTTAGATTCCTCATATAACTGTTCAGTTCAGTTCAGTCACTCAGTTGTGTCCGACTCTTTGCGACCCCAAGGACCACAGCACGCCAGGCAGCCCTGTCCATCACCAACTCCCGGAGTTTACCCAAACTCATGTCCATCAAGTAGGTGATGCCATCCAACCATCTCATCCTCTGTCGTCCCCTTCTCCTCCTGCCCTCAAGCTTTCCTAGCATCAGGGTCTTTTCAAATGAGCTGGCTCTTCGCATCAGGTGGCCGAAGTATTGGATTTTCAGCTTCAACATCAGTCCTTTCAATGAACACCCAGGACTGATCTCTTTTAGGATGAACTGGCTAGATCTCCTTGCAGTCCAAGAGACTCTCGAGTCTTCCCCACCACCACAGTTCAAAAGCATCAATTCTTTCACACTCAGCTTTCTTTACAGTCCAACTCTCACATCCATATATGACCACTGGATAAACCATAGCCATGACCAGACGGACGTTTGTTGGCAAAGTAATGTCTCTGCTTTTTAATATGCTGTCTAGGTTGGTCATAACTTTCCTTCCAAGGAGTGTCTTTTAATTTCATGGCTGCAATCACCATCTGCAGTGATTTTGGAGCCCAGAAAAATAAAGTCAGCCACTGTTTCCCCATCTAGTTCCCACGAAGTGATGGGACCGGATGCCACGATCTTAGTTTTCTGAATGCTGAGCTTTAAGCCAACTTTTTCACTCTCCTCTTTCACTTTCATCAAGAGGCTCTTTAGTTCTTCTTCACTTTCTTCCATAAGGGCGCTGTCACCTGCATATCTGAGGTTATTGGTATTTCTCCCGGCAATCTTGATTCCAGTTTGTGCTTCCTCCAGCCCAGCATTTCTCATGATATACTCTGCATATAAGTTAAATAAGCAGGGTGACAATATACAGCCTTGACGGACTCCTTTTCCTATTTGGAACCAACCAGTCTGTTGTTCCACGTCCAGTTCTAACTGTTGCTTCCTGACCTGCATACAGGTTTCTCAGGAGGCAGGTCAGGTGGTCTGGTATTCCCATCTCTTGAAGAATTTTCCAGTTTATTGTGATCCACACAGTCAAAGGCTTTGGCACAGTCAATAAGGCAGAAATAGATGTTTTCCTGGAACTTTCTTGCTTTTTCAATGAACCAACAGATGTTGGCAATTTGATCTCTGGTTCCTCTGCCTTTTCTAAATCCAACTTGAACATCTGGAAGTTCACGGTTCATGTACTGTTGAAGTCTGTCTTGGAGAATTCTGAGCATTACTTTGCTAGGGTGTGAGATGAGTGCAATTTTGCAGTAGTTTGAACATTCTTTGGCATTGCCTTTCTTTGAGACTGGAGAAGGAAATGGCAACCCACACCAGTATCCTCGCCTGGAAAATCTCGTGGACAGAGGAGCCTGGTGGGCTGCAGTCCATGGGGTCGCAAAGAGTTGAGACTGAGAAACCAACACTTACAGCACTTCTTTGGGATTGGAATGAAAACTGACATTTTCCAGTCCTGTGGCCACCACTGAGTTTTCCAAATTTGCTGGCATACTGAGTGAAGCACTTTCACAGCATCATCTTTTAGGATCTGAAATAGCTCAACTGGAATTCCATCACCTCCACTAACTTTGTTCGTAGTGATGCTTTGGTCCCTATAGCTCTGGTAATTTGGTTTGAAATCTGGGAATATAATGCCTCCAGCTTTGTTTTTCTTTCTCAAGATTGTTTTGGCTCTTCAGGGTCTGCTGTGGTTCTGTACAAGTTTTAGAACTGCTTGCTCTACTTCTGTGGAAAATGCCACTATAATTTTGATAGTGATTGCACTGAATCTGTAGATTGCTTCATGCACTATGGACATTTTAATAATAATAATTCTTCTAATCCAAGAATGTGAAATATCTTTCAATTTACTTGTGCCTTCATCAGTTTCTTTCATTAATATCTTACAGCTTTTGGTGTACAGGTATTTTCATCTCTTTGGTTAAATTTATTCCTAGGTGTTTTATTTTTTGATGGAATTGTAAATGGGCCTGTTTTCTTAATTTCTTTGTTATTAATGTATAGAAAGCAACAGATTTTGAATCCTGCAAGTTTACTGAATTCACTTATTATTTCCAACAGTTTTCTGGTGGAGTCTTTAGGATATTGTATATATAGTATCACACCCGCTATAAACAGAGACAGTTCTACTTCTTCTTTTCTGATGTGGATGCCTTTTATTTCTTCTTCTTGCCTAAGTTCTCTGGCCAGGACTTCCAATAGTGCGTTGAGTAAAAACAGTGCCAGTAGGCGTCCTTCTCTTGCCCTTCATTTATAGAGCAAAAGCTTTCAACAGCACTGAGTGTGACTTCGGCTGCAGGCTTGTCATTCATGGCCTTTACTATGTCGAGGTGCATTCCTTCTATACCCACTTTGTTAGAAGTTTTTATCATAAAGGGATGTTGGACTTCGTCAAATGCTCTCTCTGCATCTACTGAGATACTCATATGATTTTTATACTTCATTTTGTTAATGTGATATATTACAATGATTTGCATATACTGAACCATCCTTACATACCTGGAATAAATCCCACTTACTCATAGTTATGATCCTTTTCATGCTCCTATTTCATTTATTTCTATCCTGATCTTTGTTATTTCCTTCCTTCTACTAACTTTGAGCTTCATTTGTTCTTCTTTTTCTAGTTACTTGAGGTGTAAAGTTAGGTTGTTTATTTGAGAATTTTCTTGAGTAGGCATTTATTGCTCAGAACTTCTCTCTTAAGGTGCAGCTTTTGATGCATTCCATAAGTTTTGATGTGTTGTAATTCCAATTTTCACCTGTCTCAAGTTACCTTTTTTGACTCTGCATAAGCCCATTTTTAAACTCTAAACAATTTTGAGGTAAATAGTTAACTGCTACTTGAGTAATATAGCTATACCATTTTATTATTCCACAACATTTTCTTTCCCCTTTTCTGGTATCTGATACTGATTGTCCTAGTCTATGAATCTGAGCTTTGTTCCTTGCTTAAATACAACTGTCCTGATGTCAACACCCACTTCTGCCCAGGGAACATTATATTACCAGGAAATCAATCACTAAAGCACACTTCGGCCTGTCGTTAATAGATCTGTTGGGCTTTCTCATAACTACTCATCCCAGGCATCTGAGAGCTACTTAGGCACTTTATGATAATGCTTTTATTTATGAAATAAAGACAAAACAGTATACAATATGGTCCATTATGTTACTTTCATTTAAAGGCTTGAAAGAATAGCTGTGTTCTTTTTTCCTAATCTAAACCTCAAGCACTGATATAACTATACCCAAAGAGATGTTGGACAGTGTGGGACAAAGAGGTTAAAGTGATCCAAAAATCTGGCCTAAAGTTAGGAGATGTATGATGTGGTGGAAGCCCCTACTGCTTCAAAAGCTCTGCAACTTGCACAAGGAGTGTTCATAAAATGTTATCAGAGAACTCTGAAGTTCTGAAGAACAGCATATTTATACATAGTTTCAACTGAACATTTAAGTCTTAAACACATGGCTGAAGCTGAATCACTGAATTCCATGAACACCTATTTAGTTTGCATATTTTTAACTAATAAGTTGTCTCTTGCAAAAATTAATTTTACAGGGATTATGATAAAAAGATACATATAAAAAAAGAAAATGAAAACAGAACTAGATTTTAGAAAAAACAATGAAGAATAAAGAAATTAGAAAACAAACAAGCAACCAGAGCTACTGAAGTGCCTGGAAACCAAAGAAAAGAAAGAAGGATGACTCACAGTGTTTTACTACTATACCCTTACGAGATCATTTCCTCTAATTCTATCAAAAAGGAATTCACCACATTGGTTCTTGTACAAAGGAAATGGAGTGGACGCCATGTATAGAGAATGTCTAGGAATAATGAAAACATCAGTCAAGTTCATAAACAATGGACAATATCAAACAGTCAGAGTCCAGAGCTAATCTCCACCAACTGCCAAGTTTTTCTCTCCAATTTAATTCAATAAACATTGTCAAGGACCAACTGCATGCACATTTAATGATGTTAAGGAGTTGCAAAAATGAAGATAACAACCTTGTACTGAAGGCACCAATTAAGATTGAAACAAAACATATTTTAAAATAAATCTAATTGTATTATGGCCAATGAGAAAAAAAAAGTACTTTGAGAGCACAAAGGAGGAACAAAGTAAGTTTCAGCGAGGAAGGAATGGAAGGAGTGGGCAAGATTTCGACAGCGAGGCAGGGTGGGGTGGGGTGGGGGTGAGGGGACATCTCTGATGGACGCAAACTCTCGGCACAAGCCCACAGGAAGGAACGTCCATAGCATGTTACCCCTAACAACATGCTGAGTTGTTAGGTTTAACCAAAAAGGAAGACACAAGACAGAAGGGGAGAAGTGTGAAACATGGGCAAAGTTATAGACTTGGACAAACTCAGGGATGCCACACGTAAAATACAGATTTCATTTCAGAGGTAATGGAGATCAATCAAAGAATATTTGCAACAGTCACTGACAGTACATAGGAAGCCTTGAGTGGACAAGAAAATGGAGGAAGAAAACCTAGATAAGAAACTAATGTAGCAATTCAAACAAATGACACTAAAAGCCAGGATCAGGGCACTGCAGTGGGACTGGCTAGTAAGGGAGCAACTGCAAAAGCCACTGCCCAGGAAGAACCAGGAGGACTTACGGGTCAGGGGCAGAGAGGGAAGTCGCCCTAGGTGCGCCCTCTGGTACCCACCCCTGACCTCATCACTGAGAGGAGGGGCCCTTCTGGGCTCCCCCTGCGCCCTGCCCTTGCTTCTATCAGAACGCGAACCACGTTTGCAACTGATTCCTATTCTCTCTCCTCCATCCAGTGGTAAACCGTTTAAAGGAGCTTCTCATTAAACATTTTACTGTGAGTGAATGAACAAATGAATGAGTGCGCAATACAGAAAGATGAGAAGCATTCAAGGGAACAGAGGAGAATAATAATTAATATGACAAAGTACACTCATTTAAATACCGTCTTACCTGGAGGAAAGAAGGAATCAAGTTATGCTTTTCTTTCATTATTATAGATTTCTGAGAGTTTTGCTTAGAAGCTCAAGATTTCAAGCTTGTCTTCAGAAATTATATTCATAAAAGCTTAATGTTATAATGATCCAAAATTACCTTTTAGCAGAAAATGCTTCCTCAATCTAACAGTAGGAAAAAATACTTTAGAGTTCTATGTGAAATATCTAAATGGAAAACAGTATTAATTTCAACTAGAAAAATAAGCATCCTTTTTATTCTATTTATATATTTCCTTTTTCTCAGTGTTTAATAACTAAAGTTAGTAACTATAGAATGATGCTCACAGTGACTAGTCTACCTTGTTTTTGTATAATAAAATATATTTATCTTTGTAAAATATAACTATTCGTTTGATTTTTCAAATGCTCCAAGTGTATTTTGGTATTGAGCAATGATTTCAGATCCTATTTACCAGTTGCTGTATAATATTCATAATATTCATTTTAACTTTTGATCTCTCAATTGGCTTAAAAATGTGTTTAAAGGTTAAGTGAACTAGTGTGAGAATGTTCAGATCCTAGAGAAACACCATGAGACTGTGCAAACAGTAAAAGAACTGGCATCAGAAAGCTGAGCTCAAATTCTAGTTCTGCTGCTGACAGGCTGCATGAAGCTGGGGAAGTCACTTTATCCTTCTGAGGCTCACGTCTTCTCATGTGGACAAAGGGCTACTAACAGCAACTACCTCCAAAATGCCGTAAGATGTGAGTGAGATAAGGTGATGTGTGGACCAGTCCTCTCTCAACTGTAAAGCGCTTTACAGACGTGAGGTGGAAGAAGAAATAAAAATGTGAGAGTCCAGAGGCGTAGAGAACCAAGACTCGATTCTAATCCCAGGTCTGTTACTCACTGGTTCCTGATACAAATCCGTTTCCCTGGCCTCAGCTTCTTCATCTGAAAAGGGCGTGAGGGTCTCAAAGCGCCCCCTTCCCATGTCTAAAATGTCACTCCTCTAAGCCTGTCAGTTCTTAGTGCCATCATGTATGTCAGTCACTCAGCCATGCCCAACTCTCTGTGGCCCCATGGACTGCAGCACACAAGCCTCCCCTGTCTGTGGAATTTTCCAGGCAAGAATACTGGAATGAGTTGCCATTTCCTACTCCAGGGCATCTTCCCAACCCAGGGATCAAACACGTGTCTCTTGAGTCTCCTGTACTGGCAGGTGGATTCTTTACCACTCGCTGGAAGCCATCACGTGATTGCTAAGCAAATGCTCTCTCAAGGAAGCCAGAGACACCTTGCTCACTTCTTCATGAGGAAATCCATCCCCCAGAAAAGGTTACTGGGTTTGAGACTCCAAAATATGTTGCTGCTTCAGCCTTTTACAAAGAAATCTGAATTTTACCTGTAGTAACATTTTCCAAGCTGCACTTTCCACCACCAGTCCTTGTACTGAGAATGCTCCGTGGAAAGGGCAGCCAAATCCAAAGCCTTTGAAAAACAATTCATTTTCAATTAGGATTTTCTCTTCTGACAATAAGCAGAAACAATAAATAATGAAATAAACCATATAATTAGCATCAATCAAAACATGCATTAGAAATCAGACAGAAACTCAAGTTGCTCATGTCTCCAGATGGCCCCACCAATTTTCCCTAAATAATCAGTTCCAGACCAGAGGGCTGACAGCAGATGAGAAGGAAACACTGATCAAAGTGAAGCAGATGTACAGTCTATCTGAATACAGCTTTAACATACAAGGTACAAAACTGGTATTAAAAAATCTGTACGTTTTTATCCCCACCAAAACACTTCCAAACTTAGTGGCAGTCAAGCCTTTACTGTGTAAGGTAGGCCCAAGTGCAGGACCCACTTTAAAGACAGATGTCGAGTAATCCTGAAGGTCAGACTTTGCTTGCGATGGACTGAAAAAGAGCTAACTGCTTTCGCATTTTATGTGTGCTTATGCCTTTCTCTCTAATGTCTTCTGGTTTGTTCCTTCTCGTGATTATTCAAGATCAGACAAAAATACCTAATTAAGAATTAGGATTCTATACCCAAAAAGCAGAAACCATTTGGACAAAGAGGAAGCAAATCAATCTTTATATTCCTGTAAAGTTCACAGGAATCTGAAGCTCATGTAAAGATTTGGTTATTAGTTTAAAAAGAATTCTGATTTTTTATATAATACTTACTATCCTTTCTATTAAGGTTGAAAACCTTTTATTCTTTAGTCAGTGTTAACATCATCACAATATCCAATAGCTCAGTTAAATTAACTCTTAGATTTTCAGTTCTATAATCTCAGAAGTGAAATGAAAGTCCCTCAGTCATATCCGACTCTGTGTGACACCATGGACTGTAGCCTGCCAGGCTCCTCTGTCCATGGAATTCTCCAGGCCAGAATACTGGAGTGGGTAGCTGTTCCCTTCTCCAGGGGATCATCCCAACCCAGGGATTGAACCCAGGTTTCCCACATTGCAGGCAGATACTTTACCATCTGAGCCACCAGGGGAGCCCATAATCTCAGAATGTATCCCATATTATTGTTCATTTCTTCATATTAACTCTTATCTGAAATGAACGCCAAAAGAGTTCCTTGAAGCTTTGGCTGCAAAATTAGTAACTTTCCTTGTGTTCCCCATCTTCTCTCACTCCAGGGGAGACTTCTAAATATGCAAACTATTTATAAAGGAATGGTGTCACATGCTGAGGTTCTAATGGACTTGAAAAACCAACATCTCTACTTGAAAGCTATGGAAATTAAAAAGAAGCCAGAGATAAAAGTGGAAGTGAAAAATGAGCGGGGGGGGGGGGGGGGGGGGGGGGAAGGCATTATTTCAATTATCATTATCTCTAGAAATACCACAAAACCATATTTCAATCAGCTCAGTTCAGGACTGCATTGTAAATATCTGAATAATATTCATTTTAACTTAATCTTTTAGACCTGTTACAGCAAACAGATCAGATTCACTTTCAGATTTAATATAACATTCTATTTTTCATAAAAATATGTCATTCTGAGTTTTTTTACATATTCTAATTTTCCAAGACTAGATTTAGTGCTGACTACAGGCTGCTGATTTTGCTTTCAGATATGGTTCCCATATAGGACTCACATGCCCACATATCTGTCTAAGCCAATCAAGGAAATTAATATGAATTACAGATGTAGAATAAAAATGGTAAAAATTACATATTAATGATCACTCTTCATTTGATGACTGAGGCTACACTACACAAAACTACCAGTATGATTTCAAATGGACCCTACGTCCCCTGAGAACAGGCACCTACTTCTTACACATCTTTGTTGTTCTCGAATGGTGACGTGCTGTTGAAATTAGCATTAATTTTATTCTTTACTTCTGATTTATGCTGAAAATAGCTTAGGAATCAAACAAAACTGTCATAGTAATAAGATGCACAATTAAAAGCTATTAACATTTTTTAATTTTAAAGAGGTGATAGAAGAGCTATATTTCTTTAAAGTCTTTGCCAGCTTTTTAAAATAAATGACTATATACTTCTATTTTAGGATCTTTGAATAATCTAATCAATCTAATATCTATCTAATATCTAATATCAAATCTAATCAATCTAATAAAGACCTACAAGGTTATAAATAAAAGGCATAAGTTTATAAAAGTCCCTAGGAACAGGGAGCCTTGACAGATCTCGACAACAAAACGCTTGTGAATACATCCAGCTAGGTGTCCCAGGGACTCTCCTAAGTAATAGTTGGAAACAGTGCTCCCAAGTACCAAAGTTTAAGAAAAGTCTTTCATTCGCTATTGTGAGAGCTGTGACAACATCAGCATTATGAAATTAAAGAGCATATGGAAATAAAGATCCCAGAATCAAAAATCCACATGCCACTTCAGTTTTGTCGATATTGCCAACACTGCCCCACAAAGGAAGAGAGTTATTAAGAACCCAAAAGCAGAAATAGTTTTCCATAAAGCAAATTCTTTTTTTCAATGTAGCTCCTATTCCTAACATTATGTGAATGCCACGATGTAGAACATCTTCAAGATGAAGCTATTAGTAAGAATATCATCACCATGACCCTTAGTCGGCGTCTGATCTATCAGCTTCCTGAGCCCATCGCCTATAGCTCTCCCCATTCTCAGACTTCACTCCAGCCACACTGGCCTCCTCAGCGTTCCTTAAATAATCCAAGAATGCTAACACCCAGGGCCTCTGTAGTCAGTCTTTCTGACTTACATGCCCTTCGTCCACAGAACCATCCGGTTCCTCTTCCTTCCTTCAGGCCTCTGTTTAAATGTCTTTTTGGAGTGAATTTTACCAACAGTCTTCTAAGTGAGAATAAAGTCACTCAGTTGTGTCTGACTCCTTGCGACCCGAAGGACTGCATCCCACCAGGTTCCTCCGTCCATGGGATTCTCCAGGCAAGAATACTGGAGTGGATTGCCATTTCCTTCTCCAGGGGATTTTCCCAACCCAGGGATCGAACCCGGGTCTCCTGCATTGCAGGCAGATGCTTTACCATCTGAACCACCAGGAAAGCAACAACCTTCTACCTCATTTAAAATAGTATCATCCTCCATGTCATTATCTATTCCCTTCCCTGGTTTCCCTGCTATATTTTTATACTACTTATCCCATGACATTTTATATATTTTTTTTAAATTTGCTAACTGTCTCCATTTCTTGCCCAACCAGAACGTACTCTCCAAAAGAACAGAGATTTTGTCTGTTTGCTTCACCCTGTAGTCTCAGGGCCTGGAACAGTGCCTGGCACACTGCAGCGGGTCAGAATGTGTAGGAAGAAAGAATAAACATCTCTGCAATAAATGAATCAATCTTCAACAAGTCAAGAAATCTGTCATCTAGTAATTACAAACATTTACTCATTTCTAAACGGGGATGGTATCTGAATGTTCCTTTTTAATGACAATATAGCTATATGGTTTCATATATCACCCTATAATGCTCTGACCAGCTTTATATGAAGTGAAAATGGCGTGGACCATACTTACTTTTTTTTTTTTCCATTTATTTTTATTATTTGGAGGATAATTACTTTACATCATTGCAGTGGTTTTTGTCATACATTGAAATGAATTAGCCATGGATTTACATGTATTCCCCATCCCGGTCCCCCCTCCCACCTCCCTCTCCGCCCTGTCCCTCTGGGTCTTCCCAGTGCACCAGGCCCGAGCACTTGTCTCATGCATCCAACCTGGGCTGGTGATCTGTTTCACCCTAGATAATATACATGTTTCGATGCTGTTCTCTTGAAACATCCCACCCTCGCCTCCTCCCACAGAGTCCACAAGTCTGTTCTATACATCTGAGTCTCTTTTTCTGTTTTGCATATAGGGTTATCGTTACCATGTTTCTAAATTCCATATATATGTGTTAGTATACTGTAATGGTCTTTATCTTTCTGGCTTACTTCGCTCTGTATAATGGGCTCCAGTTTCATCCATCTCATTAGAACTGATTCAAATGAATTCTTTTTAATGGCTGAGTAATATTCCATGGTGTATATGTACCTTTTATCTACAGCAACGCGCCTGGTTTCTCAGTCGTTCCAACCTTAGTTTCTCTTTTCTCTATGTGACCACATCCACCATCACTCTCTTAGGGATAACTACCATACTCAGCGCATCTGGCCTGGGCTCTCACCTACATTTTAGCGGCACAGCTTCTGATACATGCAGTGGCATCTCCACCTGGATCAGCTTTCACAATTTCAGACTGAAGATGCCTTCCGGTGAGTTATTCAGCTCTTCACAGTCTAACCTCCTTCCCTAAGAACCCCATGTCTGTTAGTTAAACAACCGCTCGCAGCGTCTTCAGGAGGCAGGTGTGGCCCGGTGCTCTCCTTTGTCCACCACACCAAATCCAGCATCACATTCTGTCACCTCTTTCTGACAATGCCTCAGAAGGCTCCCACTATTGAGGATATGGCTTACTTATTTCTCATTCCATACTCTCGTCATATTTTTACCCTTCTTTTACATTTTCTCCCTCCCTTTCCAAAAAAAACTTACCGAATTTTTACTAATATCATCCCCTGATTTTTCCCCTTGATATCTGGTAATAACATCACAACCTGGCAATTACCTTTCTAACTGTTTCATTATGTCAATTTTATTTCCTCAGCTAGATTACATGGCTTACAGAAGCAGGAAAAAATGTATTTTTAAATAGCATAATGGTTGACACATAGAAAACACAACTGAGAAAAATGCTTTTGTCTTCCTGCATACTTAATACATAGGTATAAAGCTGTTTCTGTGAATAAAAGAATGACAGAAAATACTGTCATTAGACACTGTAGAATTAACTACATTTGATCTGACAAAATTTGTGAAGGTACTGCTCATTTGCATATTAGCATGTGAAAATTACCACAAATGGAGAAGTCATATGCATCTAACCTTAAAATTATCTGTTAAAAGGTTACCAAGATGCTTGATTATTGATTACTGTTGAATTTGGGTGATGACTGACGCAGGTTCATTACACTCTCGTTACACAATCTACCTGCACATGTTTGAAATTTTCTATCACAAAATGTTGAAGGGGAGAGATGGGAACATTACAAAAAAAACAAAAACAAAACAGAAACACAGCATTAATGGGCAGATTCCTTACCACTACACCACCAGGGAAGTCCAATACAGGTGTCAGTAAACCTATAATTACTATATAAACCAAAGAAGAAAATGGATCCACCATGCTATCAGTATAAAAAATAAAGTTTAACGAAAACATATCATGCAGCATTCCCAGTTACCCATACCTTGCCCTTTAATGGAGATCTGTGACTCTACGGATCAGGCACAAGTCTTACTACTTCTGTGTGTGTGTGTATTAGTCACTCAGTCGTGTCTGACTCTTTGCGACCCCGCGGACTGTAGCCCACCAGGCTCCTCTGTCCATGGGATTCTCCAGGCAAGAGTACTGGAGTGGGATGCCATTTCCTTCTCCATACTACTTCCATAGTTATACAAATTTTCCTAACTATGGTTGTGATAAAAAATAAATAAATAAATAAGTAAATTAAAAAAAAAAAAAATTTTCCTACTAAAACTAACAGTGGATTTGAAAGTATGAGTAATTCTCCAATCTTTAATAATTCCAGCTGTTTATAAGGTAATAAATTTTAAAAAATAAGGTAATAAATAGGACATTTCCAAATCTAAATCCCCCAAATTAGAAAAATTACATTAAAAAAATAGTACAAATTTAAAACTTACAGTCTTAACATCATTTTCATGATGAAAGATATACTCAAACAGAGCCTGTGGAAAAAAAATACAAAAAATACATTATATTTTATTTTAACGAAGGTCCTCTATTGTTATAGCAAAACCCAAAGGCTATTTCGACAGCAGCTGGATTGAACCAAAATAACAAAGTCCTCTAAAGTGCCTGGAATTTATAAGTAAAGGGTACATCCATACATTTGTTACAATCACTCATTTTAAAACAAGGCTACTTATAACTGATGCCTGTTTTTAAAAATATGAACTGGAAAGTTCAAGAATACGAACTGGAAAGCTCAACAGTTTTTTTCATATTACACATTGTATTTTATCAGAAAGAGACAAATGAAAAGACCAACCTTAGGACTGTCATAAAACTGCATGTATTATACAGTGATTGTGATATTAATAATGACACCTCAGACATGGGAAAATCTGGAAGCTCTTTCTGAAACAAAGTGGAGTTTAACTGCAAAGTAAGATGTTTTTCCTAATATGCAGATGTCTCTATGTGCAGCAAGGCTGAGAACCATTATTCTAATATTGCCCCCAATTCATCTGGATAAATAAGCATCTACCGGACTACCTCTTGGTGATACTATACTTATCCATAAATACCATTATTTTATACTTGCAAAGTGCACACTTCTACCCCTGGAAGATATCAAGGTTATTAACAGAGATGACTTGGAAGCAACCAAAAACAAAAAAAAATAAATCAAAATAAGGCTCTCTTTGAAAAACCTATTCCTAATTCTCCATTTGTTCAGTTATTTTTTAAAAAGTTACGAGTACAGCTCATGTCCTGATAAGTTAAGTCAAGGCAAGCTGGAGACCAAAGACAGAGAAACTTGGCGTTATTTCCAAACACATTAAGTAAGTGCAAAGCCTAGTTTGGTTTGAACTTCACAACATAAACCAGGTCTGTCCTAGAAGTATCCTAACTTAATTGAGGGAAATGCCTCCTCTGACTACGATCCCTGGTTAGAAAACAGCAATGGTATCAAGTAGCCAATGAGTCACCTCTAATGAACGGCCTGAAAGGATAAGCAATCAGATACTCCTCATAAAGGTAAGAGAAATAAGTAAACCTTTATGACTCTGCTAAATCAAGTTGTTTAGACCACTATCAAATAAGGAACGAAGAAAAATATCATTGGCATTGTTACAGTCTGATTTCCTTTTTACCAGCTAGCATTCCTTTTTCTGACTTAAGTTTCAAGTCTGTATGGCTAGAGTTCTTTTTCGCCTTCCCTAGAATGTTTGTTGCTCAGTCGTGTCCAACTGTTTGTGACTCCATGGACTATACAGTCCATGGGATTCTCCAGGCCAGAATACTGGAGTGGGTTGCCTTTCCCTTCTCCAGGGGATCTTCCCAACCCAGGGATCAAACCCAGGTCTCCTGCTTTGCAGGCGAATTCTTTACCGGCTGAGCCACAAGGAAAGTCCCTAAAATGTTAATATTTAGTAAATATGTTAAACACCAGTAGAGCTGATAATAGGAATGAAATCAGTACTCATGCACAGAATTCACAGAGATTACAGCTAAAAACCTGAGCTAGGCTTATACCAGTTTCTGGAAGCTAACTGCTCCTGGCTCTGAATTATTCTATGCTCACCTTCAAATTTTTTTCTACTGGAAAGGTCATGAACATCCTTCTTCCTATTCCTCCCCCTCTCCCTTCTCTCTCTCTATCACTCTTTTCCTTTAATTTAGAAAAGAATTTAATAGTTAGAATTACTAATGTAGTTGGCTTGCCATTGTCTGGCTTAAGTAATCTTCATTGAGATACCAGATTAATTACTAATTAGAAAGAAAACATTTTTCTATCTTCTTTTTGACAGTTCTAAAATCCTATGAGGATAGAAAATTATTTTTCTGAGAATAGTCCAAGCTAAAAAAGAAACACACACACACACACAGATGACCCCCTAAACGTCATTACCCAAAGACAGTGCTGTGTATCTGCTTTCTTTGTTATGAATTGCTATTCTTTATTAGGAGAAAACAAACTTCTTATTATGATAGTATATATGTTTTATTTCTGATTGAGTTTATTAATTAAACATTTCCATTTCAATCAAGGTAAAGTCTTTTTTCTTCACAAATTTTTATCCATTTCCTGCAATGCTATTATAAGTCCCTCATAGCTCAGTTGGTAAAGAATCCGCCTGCAATGCAGGGGACCTAGGTTCAGACTCTGGGTTGGGAAGATCCCCTGGAGAAGGGAAAGGTTACCCACTCCAGTATTCTGGCTTGGAAAACTCCATGGACTGTATAGTCCATGAGGTCGCAAAGAGTCGGACACAACTGAGTGGAGCGACTTTCACTTTGACTTTGAACATCACTTCATAACATAAAATAACTTTAAGAACATACCTTTGCCAATTTAGGTTTCTGGGCATATTTTGTTAAATTCAGTCTAGATAAATTTATAAAAGGTCCATCAGGACTTGTAAGCATGGAAGCCTGTGGGGAGAAGTAACAGAACAAGAAAAACTGAAACTTTCTCTTGAAAAAAAAAATTGAATTTAACGTGCATAAAATTATAAAGCCAACACAGGTAAAAAAGAATCACCTTCAAAAATCTTCCATATAATTCCCTACTATAAAAAGAGTGGAGAATGATGTTACGTTACATAAATTACTTTGGTCATCCAAGGCTACGGTGCAGCCACCAGAACTTACCGTTCCCAGCCTGACAAACCTCCCAGACGAGCTGGCAATGGGGCGGGCAGTGTAGGCAGTCCTCGGCATCCTGATGGCCTGCTCCAAAGTGCCTGGTCTTCCGCTCTGCGTGCCGGACCTCAGACAACCTGTAATGGGTCTTCCAGCCTGAGTGATCGGCCTGTGAGGATCGTAAATCGTTAAAGTACCACGAAGACCGAGAAAGGAAGGTTCTCATACAGTCTGGTCGGTATTTAGCGGGATGAAACAGGAGTGTAGTGAACATACCTGACCGCGGGGCTAGGCCCTCCTGTCTGATTATTTCCAGGGAGTTTCAGAGATGTTCCAGGACCTAGGAGATCAGATGACAAGTTCAATTCATATATTATTTATTAATCTGTAAAAACTGTCCACTAACGCAATTTTCACAGTGGCGCTGGCCTGATGAAAAAGACCTTAATAACAAGAACTGCACCTAGTAAAATGTGTTTGATTAGTATTTATTGAGTACCAATGCTATTTTTGTTATCACATTTAATCTTCACACTAATTCTATAAGGTAGGTAGTACTAACCCATTTAGCCAAGGCTTAGAGACTTAGGTAAACAGGTCAACCTGCCAGCATTCCCACTCAAAATAAGACAGGCTCCAAAGCTCTGACTCATCAAAATGAGAGTTCTATACTCCCAGGCAGTGCTCATGGTAAAGATCCCACCTGCCAATGCAGGTAAGACGTAAGAGACCCAGCTTCGATCCCTGGGTTGGGAAGATCCCCTGGAGAAGGAAACAGCAACCCACTCCAGTATTCTTGCCTGGAGAAACCCATGGATAGAGAAGCCTAGCGGGCCACAGTCCATGGGGTCGCACGGAGCTGGACACGACTGAAGCGACTTAGCAGCAGCATATTCATAGTTTACTTTTCATACAAACTTCTTCTCCCAAGAAAAGATCATTTACCCCCAATATCTAGAATTTAGATATTTTCACTCCAAAAGACCAAATGATAGAGAAAAGACACTTTAAAACAGCTATTACCTTCCAAACACATATAAATGACTGACCACTGTTGCAACTAAGAAATTACCAGCAAGACCACCATATGTCATGGTAATCATCCACTGCCATTCACAGCAGCACACCTGCAAGCTGGGACTGGGCCACTGTGACAGTCGTGATGGGCATTCTCTGCCAGGCCAAGCACTCACTCCACCACCTCACATCATGCATCACAGCAAAGCATCTGCAGTTACTACAAGGAAGTGATGCTTTCAAATGGTCAGTTTTTTAAAAATCCTTTTAGAACATTTCTGTTGTTTGGATGCTTACCTGTGTTTACAGACTCTTGGATAAACAATCTTTTGTTATATCAGATCAGACTGAATGCATTTTTATGAAACATTTTAAAACTTGTAATATAATTTCTATTGAAAAATAGTTATACATCAATCTCATACTTTGAGATAATATAATTGAATTGTGTTTTTGTACTATTTAGGCAGAATAGAGGCCATTTACTTGACGTAATATTTTTTCACATAGACATCTTTCATGTATATAATGTCTTATTTTTATTACAAAAAAAAAGTACATAGAGAGCATATTTCGCCTCCTAATGGCATTTCATTTACTTAACTGAAAATAATCAATACTTACGGGGAACTTGAGCAATAGCATTCTCATCCAGCATCATTTCTGCGATTCCGTTCTGATCTATGTCAATTTCATCTACGTACACCATTTCAGTCAGTGCTCGTGCTTTCAAAATCCAGGCTGCCTAAAAAGCATGAATAAGATAAAGCATGTCTTAACTCGCACTGGAAGTAGTACAAAGCCTGCAGAAGCTAACCATCCTTTATTATTATCTAATTTTTATCAAGCATATTTACCACACAATGCGTAATACTGATTTAAAGGGCTATGTCTAGAAACTAATGCAAGAAGACAGGGTCATTATTAACCAAGAAACAACCTCTATGTATCAATCACCTAGCAAACAACAGTGTGGTCATTACCTAGCACTCTTCTGACACATCTTTTTATAAGTGAAAGAAGATCTTTATAGAAAATTTTACTAGTAATTTGAAAACAAAGGAATCAAGCTACAACCACAGTGTTCTGTCTTCCTCCTTCAGAGCCAAGTCCTTCACGAAAACTTTCCTGATGATTGAACTCTAAACCTACTTCCCTCTTATCTTTCTCATAAAGCAGTCTCTTCATACTTATATTATTATGTATGTACCATATTTGACAAACACTGTAATTCCCTCCCATCCCCCAGAACACAAGCTTTTTTACCTTGTTCACTTTGAATTTTCCGTAACACCTATGGTTTTTGTACACAATAGGTATTTCAAAACTGTTGACTTGAACTAAGATCAATTTTTGCCACTTTTTAGTAACTAATCAACACAATCTCAGGTGTCTTATGATCTAGTCAGTAGAAACCCTGCTAGAAAAGTGGAAGAAAAAAAATGGAAAAGATAACTAAGGAGTCTAGAAAATATCTTACCAGCTTTGCTTTACCTTGAGAAATCAGATGTAAAGCTGTGCACAACTGAATACCTTATTAAACATTTAAAACTGCTTGAACAGAAAAGTTTACCTTTCTGCCTCAATAGAAAAGTGAAAGTCACTCAGTCGTGTCCAGCTCTTTGGGACCCCCACAGACTGTAGCCCACCAGGCTCCTCCTCCAGGGCATCTTCCCGACCCAGGGATCGAACCCGGGTCTCCTGCACTGCGAGCAGATTCTTTACCGCCTGAGGCACCAGGGAGGCCCAAACATTGATGAAACATTTAAAACTGCTTCAACAGAAAAGGAAGCAGAGAGCAGGAGAGCTTGGTGCCCTGGGGCAGCCGTGGGAGGACCGCACCCTTGAAGTCGCAGTACCCGACCGACTAAAGTGGAGAGGAGGAAGCAGTAAGGACAGTGGTTAGGCCTCATCGCCCTGCGAGCCGGGCTGCGAAGCACGCTGCAGGTGGACAAAGGGACAGAGAGGGGAACAGACGGAGGTGACAAGAGGTCCAAGGGGCCCTCATCAAGGTCTCTAGATGTGCTCAGTCATCAGCGTGTACTGACGGAGCACCTTGTTACACAGCATCGCACGACAGGTTCTGAGGAGGAAACACACGCACGTTAAAACGTGGATCCGAATTTCCCTGAACGTCATCACCTACTGGATTAAACGGCAGGGCCAAGCAGCGCAGGACACGTGACGAATGTGCGACAAGGACAACAGCTCTACCAGAATTAGAAAGCCGAGCTCCTCTTGTGGGCTGAAGTAACTGGAATGTCTATTTTTAAAAAACTATTAAAGAAAAGAATCAAAGAAAGTCCTCAGGCTTTCGTTTCAATGGGAACAAAGAAGGATGACTTCACAAGATATTCAGGGTCCTCGAGTGAAATTACATTTGACTAGATTATTGGATTTGGGGCTTGTACTTTTCTGGCTGAGGTTTACTGGATTCTTATCAGAAAACTTAGAATAAAATATTTCAAATGTTATGTGCAAATTCAGCACAATTGAATGGGCAGAATATGGGCCCAAAGAACTGATTTGTTTGTTTTAAAAAAAAAGTCAATTTCAGGTAGAACTGCATCTAACTGTGAGAACCACCAATGTGTAGAAACCTTCTGGGATTTTCACTTACAGACAAGATCAGGAAAGCTGCCAGATCTACACAACAGTCCTCAGAGGTCACAGAAGCTGTCGATGGCTTGGACTTACAGTTTAACTTTGAGGATGAAAGTAAGTAATCCTGATTTATCTTTAAGTCTTCACAGTTTATGCTGCCCTGCAAGTATCAGAAGGCTTTCATTGTTCAAAAGGGTATTCTTTGCTCAGCACCCTCTGGCGGACAGGAAGGACTGCGGCACTTTCTGTTCACACAGGAAAGCAAGATACGGGCCTCACTGGTTCCTCCTCACATTCCTAGGGGCACACACTGCACCCCAGGTCCTGAGAGCAGGGCTGGGTAAGCCACAGCCCAGGATCTAGCTCGTAAGAATCCCAGTGTTACAGGGAAAGAATAAAAACAAAAATCCGGAACATGGCAGAGAAAGGCACCCAACTGCCTTGTCAGTTCAGTTCAGTCGCTCAGTCATGTCCTACTCTTTGCAACCCCATGGACTGAAGCATGCCAGGCCTCCCTGTCCATCACCAGCTCCCGGAGTTTACTCAAACTCATGTTCATCAAGTTGGTGATACCATCCAACCATCTCATCCTCTGTCGTCCCCTTCTCCTCCTGCCCTCAATCTTTCCCAGCATCAGGGTCTTTTCCAGTGAGTCAGTTCTTCACATCGGGTGGCCAAAGTACTGGAGCTTCAGCTTCAGCATCAGTCCTTCCAATGAATACTCAGGACTGATCTCCTTTAGGATGGACTGGTTGGATCTCCTTGCAGTCCAAGGAGCTCTCAGGAGTCTTCTCCAACACCACAGTTCAAAAGCATCAATTCTTCTGCACTCAGCTTTCTTTATAGTCCAACTCTCACATCCATACATGACCACTGGAAAATCCATAGCTTTGACTAGCTGGACCTTTGTTGCCAAAGTAATGTCTCTGGTTTTTAATAAGCTGTCTAGGTTGGTCACAGCTTTTCTTCCAAGGAGCAAGTGTCTTTTAATTTCATGGCTGCAGTCACCATCTGCAGAGATTTGGGAGCCTAAAAAATAGTCAGCCACTGTTTCCACTGTTTCCCCATCTATTTGCCATGAAGTGATGGGACCGGATGCCTTGGGGTGGAGGGAAAGGCGAAGAAGAAGAGTTCCGCCTGCGGCCAAGACGGGAGAGCGATTGCCAGGTGATGTGATTAGGAGGAGGCAGCCCCCAGGTGACGGGAGTAGGAGGAGGCAGCCCCGCGTAGGGGCCGATCTGGAGAAAGTAAAGGGCGGGGCCTGGCTGAGGGGAAGCTGCTTGGGAAGAAGCTGGAGGAAAAGTCGAGGGCGAACGCGGGAGCCTGTCTGCGCCGGAGAGGGATGTGGCCTTCCCCCCTGAGGAGGAGGAGCTAGTAAGCTTTCAGGACAGGAAGTCCCCTACACACGAACGAGTTCAGTCTCAAGAGCACAGAGGTCCAACTTGTTCCTACGTCCACAGAGTTAGCCTAGGGGCCCAGCTAACACAACCGGCTACAGAGTTCTGTGCTGTGATGTAGGTTTGTGATGCTTTTCACACAAATATGTAAACACACGCACACACAACAAAACAGTTTTAATCCTACAGTCCTGCTGCTGCTGCTGCTAAGTCGCTTCAGGCGTGTCCGCCTCTGTGCGACCCCAGGGACGGCCGCCCACCCGTCTCCCCGTCCCCGGGACTCTCCAGGCAAGAACCCTGGAGTGGGTCGCCATTTCCTTCTCCAGCGCATGAAAGTGAAAAGTGAGAGTGAAGCTGCTCAGTCGTGTCCGACTCTTCACGACCCCATAGATGGAAGCCCACCAGGCTCCTCCATCCCTGGGATTCTCCAGGCAAGAACACTGGAGTGGGTTGCCATTGCCTTCTCCATGCATGAAAGTGAAAAGTGGAAGTGAAGTCGCTCAGTCGTGTCCGCCTCTGTGCGACCCCAGGGACGGCCGCCCACCCGTCTCCCCGTCCCCGGGACTCTCCAGGCAAGAACCCTGGAGTGGGTCGCCATTTCCTTCTCCATGCACGAAAGTGAAAAGTGAGAGTGAAGCTGCTCAGTCGTGTCCGACTCTTCGCGACCCCGTGGACCGCAGCCCACCAGGCTCCCCCGTCCATGGGGTTCTCCAGGCGAGAGTGCTGGAGTGGGCGCCTTCGCCTTCTCAGGCCCTTGAACAGGACGGCAGGACAGCAGCTGGCACTGAGGGGCCGGCATCCGGTGGACACGCCAGCACAGTTACCGCCCGGAGCAGGGAGACAGGTGGGGGACGGCGGGGCCGAAGGCCCGTCGGCGGCGGGAGCCGGGCGGCGCCGCGTCACTCACGCGGGCGCCCGATAGCATCTCTGCAGGTGCAGAACCTAGAGGCTCGGGTGTCGGGCACTTGCATGTGATTGGGAACCCTAGTTAAATTAGCTTTCTAAAAGTCACGTTTTTATTAGTATAGTATCATGTAGACAGCTGGATATTAATTATCAATGCACAGATTTTGTAAAGCCATTTTCATACCCATGCTGTCACCTCAGAGTCCAATCCATCACGCTTCTTGACTTCCATCCTCCTAGTAAAGTCTCAAATGTTAAGGAAGGGCAGCTTTTTTTATATCAGCATAGGAAAGTAAATCCACTATTCCCTCCCCAAATGAATATATGCTTCAGAAGCCAAATAGGAAGATTTATTTTTAAAAATTTTATTCCATAAGAGTTCATTTTGTCAAAAAAGTATTTATATTTGTTTCAATTTCTAAAATCTCACTCTTAAGAAGTAGAGATAATCATGTGATTCCTGATATTTAAATATCTGCGATAAAATCTACTTACACCATTATTTAACTTTAAATTTTATCAGTATTTGAGAATATTAATATTCCTAACTTTCCTTCTATCCCAACAAAAAATGCCCTTGAAAATGATATATATCACTGCTTGATTAAACATCAGATTGTATTCAAGGAACTGCTATGGGCAACAGGAACAATTCTTGGAATTTTAATGAAAACATCTTACTTTGGAGGAAAGCAACGTACGTTTTACAACCCTAAATTCTTCTTCCTGTTTAAATTTTTAAGTTCAAAACTAATTGGTGAAATAAAATGCATAACAAAGCAAACTGGTAATTCTACACTGCCACTAGAATCTAAATAAAATTGCAAATTGTTTCTAT